CAAACAGCCATGGTGTAGCACAGCACACTTTACAGCCTTTGCAATCATTATCTGGGCTCCCTACTGAGTAACTCAATTATAATTAAGTCCTTTTCCTTTTACTCTGAGAACTGCACTTGTTAATTTTATCAGATAAATACAAATGGAAAAATTACGCTGACCGTAATCCCAATTAGATTCCTGGAAAATCACTTGCAGGTTCCTTTCCAAAGGCATCCTGGCTGTGGGAACAAGGGTTTTGCATAGGAAGTGCCCTTCTATGAAATGCACTGTACTGTTGTAGGAAGTGCCCTTCTATGAAATGCACTGTACTGTTGAGTTGGGTCTGACTGAGGTAAAGCTCAAGCCTTTCCAGTGCTGTGCTTTGCATGAGTGTTGGACAGGAGTTGATAACAGAGCAGTGTTTTGGCTATTGCCAAGCAGCGCTTTCCCTCTGACATTCCTTCCCCCTCAAAGTGTGTAAAATCCTGGGAGGGACATGACTGGGCCAGCTGACCCAAAACAACCAAAGGGATATTCCACACCATATGACATCAGCTCAGATATGTAAGCGAGGAGAGAGAGGAAAAGGGGGGACATTCATGAGTTTTCAATGTTTGCCTTCCGGAGCAACCACTACGCGTGCTGARGCCCTGCTTCCCGGGAAGTGCCCGAACAACGCTGCTAATGGGAAGTAGAGATTGATTTCTTTTTTCTTCCTTTAGCTTTTGCATGTGCAAGTCTTTGCTTATATTTTGCCATCTTACTTCCCCCTGTCTCAGAGGGAAAGGGAGTGATAGGGAGACCTAGTGGGTACTGGCATCAGCCAGGGTCAACCCACAACAACTGTAGAAGGCTGAAAGCCACCTCGGTGGCCCGGGTGACAAAAGCAGGTCTCAGCTGTCCCCCACAACAGTAACAGCTGCTTTCCTCAAGCAGCACCTTCAAAGACCATCTCTAATCCTCCCCAGACTGTGACTACCTGAAGGCAGCCAGGGCTTTGGAAAATGGTGATTATAGCTCCCAACTGGTTAATTACAACTAAATTCGTGGGTCAAATACATGTTTATTTATTTATTACTGAAGACTCATCCTACTTCATATTAGTCCACTTGTTTGCTTGCTTGGCTGACATTTATTTTCAGTAAAGCAACCATGGCAAAGGTTTGTAGCTGCTTTGAAGTGCTCAGATTCTGTTGTCAGCATAGGTCTGTTACTGCTCCAATGGGAAGTTTTTCAGTGGTCTTGAAGTCAAACCAACATGAGACCTACAACTCAGGCTAGAAGCAGGAGAGGAATGTGAAATTCAAATTGGATCAAGAGCCCAAAGACAGAAGGCTGAGCCTGGGAACAAGGACGCTGGAGAAAGAGGGACAAGTTAAGATCTTCTGTGGCAAAGAATCTAAATCAGAGGGAGAGGTGGAACCTAAAGTACAGAAACTACAACGGGGATAAGGACAGGAGAGGAACAGCAAGAGAGTTCATGTCCGTGGTTTGTGTTCACAAAAAACTGCACTGATTCTCATCACTCTCCTGCTTACAGCAACCACTTCTGAAACTCATCAGCAAAAATACATCCCATTATATGTATTAGTAAAATTACAGCTAACTCATGTCCACTTTGATTGCTTCATGAACACAAGTAGTAGAAATGGATCTAGAAGCCTTGCTCACAACTGCCATTGCTATCCAAAGCTGATGCACAATTTTTTCAGGCTGCCTTTCTCAAGCATTTTAATATCTCAACCCTATTCAGAAAATACTAAAAGATTATTAAGGCTGTAATGTCACATACATAGGAAATGTATCCAAATTGAAATACTCTGTACAATCTTTATTTTGCCTGCTCTTACATATGTATTACATCTTTTTTTCCCTTTAGGTCACTTTGCTTATTCATTCAGTGCATAAGAGTTGAAAAAAGTTCAAAGTTATTATTATGTCTTGCCTCATTTCTTTCTGAAACTGAAAAGTAGACCTGAAGCCTTTTTGGAGAACAGCACTCCAGACTTGGCTGTGTCACAGGTGAAACTACAAATGCATGGAATTAGTGCTCATTACATATGTAATATAGCAACATGCAAAAAAAAAAACAACCCAATAACAAAACAGTGGAGGAAAACTGCCTTCTAATACATCAAACACAAGATGGCAAGAGTAGCCTTGAAATAGCACAGGCACCCTCAAAACCAGCATTTCTTAACTCAAATACCTGACTTTGCAAATCAGCCTGCCTGCCAAAAATCAGAAATTTGCTATCCTTTAGAAAGTAAATACAGTCTGAAGGACAGAATAACTGATCCCTCAGGGATAGCTTGTGCCTTGGGATGATTTTCAGAGACTAAAACTACCGTACTTAATGCGTTTTCMTATAATACACACTATAAATGCAATGGGAACAGCAGATACCTGTGGCAAGAAATTTCAATAATGACAGGAATTCCAATTCCGTTTGGCAGAGCAGAGTGCAAGCAGCGAGCTGGCACAGGTAACTATCCCTAAATAGAGTAGGATAATAGGGGAACAGGGAATAGGGTAAGGATATCCCTGTCCCGTGAGGGCTGGCACAGGTAACTTTATCCCTAAATAGAGTGGGGTAATTAATAGGGTAACAGGGAATAGGGTAAGGACATCTCTGTCCCGTAACAGAGAACTGCCAGCAGAGGGCTGGCACAGGTAACTCTGTCCCTAAATAGAGTAGGGTAATTAACAGGGTAATTAATAGGGTAACAGGGAATAGGGTAAGGACAGCCCTGTCCCGTAACAGAGGGCTGGCACAGGTAACTCTGTCCCTACATAGAGTAGGGTAATTAATAGGGTAACAGGGAATAGGGTAAGGACATCCCTGTCCCATAACAGAGGGCTGGCACAGGTAACTCTGTCCCTACATAGAGTAGGGTAATTAATAGGGTAACAGGGAATAGGGTAAGGACATCCCTGTCCTGTAACA